TGAAAGATTTGGAGCTAGCCAACGTCATCCTTGGAATAAAAATTCTAAGACAAGACAAATGTATTATTTTGACTCATTCTCACTATGTGGAAAAGATACTGAGAAAGTTCAATGCTTACGAAAACACTCCAGTGAAAATCCCAATGGACCTCAGCGTACACTTGAGCAAGAATAGGGGAGATCATGTGGCTCAAGAAGACTATGCCAAAATTATTGGAAGCCTAATGTACTTAACAAATTGTACAAGGCCTGACCTAGCTTGTCTTGTAAACAAGTTGAGTCAATACACTAGCAACCCCAGTCATGAACACTGGAAAGCGCTAGTAAGAGTATTAAGTTATCTTATATATACTCTGAATTTTGGCATACACTATGAAAAATATCCACCGGTACTCGAAGGGTACTGCGATGCCAATTGGATAGCCAAGATGCAATAGCAAGGGCTAAGAATGAAATTTACAACGGTAAATCCCGACATATTCGACGTAGACATAACATTGTAAGACATTTGATCACCAGTGGGGTTTTGACTATTGAATATGTAAAATCAATAGAAAACCTAGCAGATCTGCTAACCAAAGAGTTGCAGAGAGATCAAATGTACAAACTGCTAAAGGGAATGGGTTTGAAATCCACAAGATAGAGACAATTACAGTGGTAACCCAACCAAATCACTTGGAAATCTCAAACCTTGGTTCAATGGGAAAACTAAGCTGTGAGAGTACAACACGAACACTCAATGAGTGTTATAATATGCAAAAGTGGTGAGGTTAAGTCAATGACTCTTAATGATCCTAAAGGTGTGAGTTAGATACCTTGATATAGGATTATCTATATAAGTATGAAGTGTGGGCCATTTCAAATGAAACACTTATGAATCCAAAGACGAGATCCATGGCCGAAATGGATCAAAATGTGATAACAAAGTTGAGACTGAGATAGCGACACGTCAATATTATTGACTCAGTGCACGCAGAGGTGGAACAGTTCAATGCATCACGTCAACTGGGCCACTAGTACACTCTGTAATGTTGACTATGGAAGTTTCAAAGCCAAAAACTACATTTCCTGATATGTCAATGTCTCACCGGGATTGAACTGGGCTTCTGTCCTTTATGGACATTTCTAATCATGTGGGGGATTGTTGGATAATCGGTTATTTTGAAATCGATTATTTTGTGAGTGAAAATGCAATGGGCCAGTGTACCAAATAAATAAATATTATTTATTTATTGTATATGAGGTTTGCTTAATATTTTGACTATTTTGCATGTCTCGAGACAAACCAAATTTGTAACCCCAAATTAAACTAGGGTATATGACCTAAGTCGCAGTATTATTTGGATAAAATATTATCCGTTAGATAGATTTATTATAATCTCAAACGGAAAGTTTGGAATTAGAATAAATTACAATTGTTTCAAACGGAATGTTTGAAATTAGAATACATTACGATCGTCACAAACGGCAAGTGTGTAATTAGAATTAATTACGACTGCTTCAAACGGAAGATTTGTAATTGGAATCAATTACGACTGCTTCAAACGGAATGTTTGAATTTATAATAAATTGCATCGATAATTAAGGTCGTAATTATGATCGTAATTGATCCCTTGCTAGTTTGGCCGAGTGGAGACACCTATATAAAGGGCTCCCCTTTCACTCTAAACACCAAAAACTCTCTCGTCATTCTCTCCTCTCTTCCAGCTTTCCGGCAACCTCCCCAGCTCAGTTCCTCTCTCGTTTTTGTTCGCCGGAGCTTCAACGATTAGAGGTGCCACTCTCATTGGAGACGAAAACCATTTTATCTTTTGGTTAGAACGCCAGCCACCGGAGGCACTACCCGGGCGTATCTAATTTTCGGAAAGAGGATCCATCCTCGACTCGGTTTCACGTTTATTCTTGCAATACCCTTATAATCCAGCAAATTGCAAATATACTTTTTGTCTCCGTCACAACAGTGACTTCAAAATCTGCATTCAGTGCTGAAGGTAGAGTGATTGATGATCGGCGTGCTTCTATGTCTGTTGAAATAGTACAAATTCTATTGTGTGTAAATTATTTGATTCGTAGTTGTTACGTACTCAAAAATAAATCACGTGTAAGTAATTTGAATTCATATTATTTATTTATTTATTTTTCATGTTTGATCATTTTATATATTTGTACTAGATTTCTCATATTATTTTATAGGAATGCGTGCAATTAAGGTTGAATCAAGTATATTTGAAGAAGTTGAATTTCCTGAAAGTTTTATCGATTCACAATCTTCTTTATAATATATTTATTTTTTTTATATTTTCTACTAGTATTTATTGAGATTTCAATATTAAGGTAAACTTTTATATTTATTTCATTTACCACTAAAACATATCGTTTTTTATTTATTAATAAATTTTGGATTTTGTGAATGCAGATACTGAGTATTATTAGAGTTTTGATCAAAAATATTTTCTTTTATGGAATTCTCAGTATAATTCATATGAAATTTGGTAAGTTTATTGATTCATATTATATATATGTTATAATTTTTGCTATTTTTTATTTATTTTTTTGATAACGTAGGGACTCGCAGTCGCTACTCGACGAGTGAGTTCTAGGTAAACTCCCAATTGAACCTAATACCTTACAAACTAGGTCCGACAAAACAAATCACAGTAGACGAACCAAGTGTAGCAGGTGACCTATAAGGGTCGGGGTTTGACCACATGACTTCACTGAATTAGCTTTCTTTTTTTTTTCTTTTTTTTTTTTAATATGAGATCACTAGTGTTGCATTGTAAATCAAGTTTTTATTAATATTTTTACCACAGATTTTTACTATTTACATTCTTTCTTTTCTCTAAAAATATTACATCAAATAATACTTTTTTTTATATATTATATTATAAATTTATTTTATATTCAAAATATCACATCAACATCTATTTATATCATATCAAACAACTATTCAAATTTAACCTTTTACTATTCAAATTCAAACATTTACTAATCACAAATTCAAACTCAAAAAGTAAAATCCACAAACAAACACACCATAATTGGTTTTTTTATTGTAGTTATTGAAAGGTAGCTGCAGCCTACCAGGCCGTCCGTGGGCCCGGACGAAAAGGGGGACCGCCTAGGGCCCAATCTAAATTGAGCCAATTACTTATTTATGTTATATATAAATTATTTAATATATAAATTATTTATAACCCCTAATTTTTGTTTTAAGATTGTTAATATTAATACTATTATTGATATTTTATTAAAAAAATTCTACAAAAATTATTTTATTTAATAATTTATATTCTATTACAGGTAAAAGAAAAAGAAAATCGGAGTAGATCATTTATATATATTTAAGGGTCTTTTATTTTTACTTTAATTAATTTTTTTGCACAAAAAAGATAATAAATATTAGAAAAAATTATTATTATTATTATTATTATTAGACAAAATTATCAATAACTCCTTTGTGATTTCGAAACTAGTGTAAATCCCCTGTATACTTTAAAAATAGCATGAACCCTTATACTTTAAAAAATGTTTCATTAGACTCATTTTTATATTTTTTTGTGATGAGAATATGACTTTTCGTTTATATTTTTTGCATGGCGGGGTTTTCATATAGTGTTTGTTAAAATATAAGGAAGCCGTTACGCAATTTTTAAAATATAGGCTAGAAAAAATATTTTTTTTTTTATTTATATTTTATTATAGGTAAAAAATATTATATATATATTTAAGGGCCCTTAACTTTTATTTCGCCGCGGGCCCTTTGAAAGTCAGGAACGTCCTTGCAGCCTACCTTCGCACACCTGTTTCGGAAAACTTTGTTTTTGTACTACCAGTAGCTTTATTTAGAGTTCCGGCAAGGTGGCTTTTCTAACAATTTTTTCACTATCACCCCCAAAAAATCAAACTCTTGCCTTACATAGAGTTGTTGTATCATTATTATTTTTTTTGCATAATAATTTTTATTGTTAAAGAAATATTAATACTTTATTACATTAAGTATATACATTAAAAACTATTTATAATTCAAGTTGAGCTCGAGCTCAAGTTTGAACCTTTCGAGCAAAGCTCGAACTCGAGTTCGAGCCTTAAAAGCCACTATTTCAGCTCGAATTTGTAAATGAGCCGAGCCGGTTACGATAGGATATTCGAGCTCGAACACCACATACTCGAGCTCGCTCAACTCGTTTAACAACTCTATGTACAATAAATTTGACCAGATAATAATTTAGCAAACTTATTAACCATAATATTAACGAATGCAACTTTTCAAAAATTGGTAAAAAAATTTGAAATACATCTATTAAGAGGTCTTAAATAATGTAGAATTACATAGTTGGTTCTTATCCTCTAGAGAATAGGAACATTCTTTGACAAAAGAATTAACATAAAATAATCATTTTATGGCTATTAAGAACTAATTAAATTGGCTGGTTCCATTTGTCAATCTTTCTAACTTGCTCACACGGAACCAAAGTTCCTTTTGTTTGAACAATCAACACCCCTTCCCAAACCATACAAGATTTTCCGAAGTATACAACTTTCTGGATGTAGATGGTGATATGTATTCATATATCTATATAATATTTATATATTATATTTTTGAGCTCTATTTATTTGAGCTTTGTGGATCCACCTGATCAAATCTTGTATTGAATTTATAAAATAATAGATCGCAGTATAAATAATTAATATTTCTATTTGTTATTCTATATTAACAGTATAACAAATATAATATTTAGAACAATTTAATGAATGTTAATATAAATAAATAAGGCTTTCACCAAATATAATGTAAAATTACCCATTCAAATCGCATAAAAGATGGGCTTGGTGGTGTGGAATGAACTAAAATATTTAAACAGCCAATATATATATATATATATAATATATTTAAACATGAGAGTATTATTTATTTTATAACACACAATGCATCAAATACTTAAACTATGGAGTCCTTTAGAGAACCTCCCAAAAGGGCACGAATTAAAATTCTTACAGAACCCAACGGCTGCAAATCTGCAACTAAAAATGATCAATAATTTCCCATTACAAAACTATATATAATTTATATATATTATTCTGAGTTCATCGCAAGAGCCATAAAGAGTTTTAATAACCAAAACAATGTAAGCAGTCATAATCTGCATCCATGAAGTTTTCCAGAAATGCAATAATTTCACAATTTTTTTTTTTTTTAACTTACCTTTTGATTGACTTCGACATGGGCAACAAACTTGGTTCATCCGTTCCTCACGGCTCAATGACGAACAATGGCTGCAAAAGGAGTAGCAAATAAAATCAAATACAGAGAAGGGAGATAGATACACAAAGCCCTCGAAAACAATTCATTATGTTATTATTTGGTTCTATAGAAGTGAAATTTCTGCATGAATAGGAGAATTAGAATCGGTGATTACCAGATCTACACTGACAGGTTTCCCATCATCTACAAGTATCTCGACAATGGTGCCAGATTGATCCGCCTGAAAATTATGATGAAGTGGTGATATTATACTTCGAATCATGTATAATTCCTCCTATGTAAATTCATGTAGTTGAAGGCACCAGCGTTTGTTATCGAAGGCAATAACACTTACAACCTCACTAGGGGATGACTGCTAAACAATCATAATTAATTTTTTTCATTTCTATTACAGTCGCACATAGTTAATTTCTTCTGAAGGGTTTGGCAAGTGTTGGACATTTCTTGGCGTTTCTAAGAAGTAAGAATAAGCATTGAGAAAAACACTCCCAACTAAATGAACTAATTCAAGAATTTCTTGTGCGCTTAAACTTAAAATTCATGCTCCCGAGGTGTATCAGTAATTGGAGATAAAGGAATAAAAGAGTTTTAGCAAAGATTTGAGCTTACCTCAATTTCATTCATTAGCTTCATTGCCTCAATAATGCATATCACTTGTCCTTTCTGCACCTTATCCCCAACCTAGAAAATCCACCAAACACAAACATGGTGATCAAACGAATGAAGTAAAAACAAGCTTGTGCGGGCAAGTGAAAAAGATACTAGCATGGAACATAGTCCTAATGATTTTTCTTATTTTTTTTTTCTTTAATTTTGCAGTGCCTCTTTATAAGTGTGGCTAAGTAAAAATCAAATTTTATGTGTTCACTTGAGAAAAGAACACGCAAAACACTAGGTTTGTTCACTCAAATCATTTGTTTAATGATAGGATTCTCAATAAATATTATTTAAAAATACAATTTAAATTATATAATACTTTATTCATTCACAAAAAATCAACAAATAAACACAACATTATATTTTATATTATAAGCACGATTCCCCATATCTAAACACAAAACAAACACACCTGTTAATGAACCGAACTAGGAACACATAACTAATTGGAAATTTTAGAAAGCATTCCTCTTTCAGGCGAGGGAAAAAAAAAAGGAGGGGGGGGGGGCGAGGGTAGGGAAGACGCTAGCAAGACTATCTACCTCACCAATAGAATATTCAAATTTCACTAAACAGTTATTTTTGTTTCTCATGTAACACATACGTGTGAGGAATTCTTCTTAGAAAGACAAGAACATACAATCAATATCCCATTTGTTTACCAACTTGGATTGTTTATTTATTAATCATTGGGAAATAAGAATTGGCATTAAGTTCAGCATACATTTATTCGATCAATTTCTATATGAAGCTGAAAACAAAACTAAAGGTGAAATTCCAAAACAAGAAACAGGCTCAAGATAATGTAGATCTTTGCTGTTTAGAAGGAAAAATCATAAATTTTAATTAAAAAGGGCATTAAATTTATGCCAAAAACAATATCCGCACTAACCTTCACAAAAGGAGGCGCCCCGGGAGCTGGAGAACGATAAAAGTTTCCAGCCATTGGACATTTGAACGATGGGAGTGATGACTTCGGTTTTGGTGGGGCAGCTGAAGTGGGTGCTGAAGCTGGAGTTGATGGAACAGGGGCAGCAGTAGCAGTCGGAGCCGGAGGCAGTTGTGGATGCATAGCCTGGTGAATAGGAGGTGGAGCGAAAGCAACTGGAGTTGGTTGCATCAGTGCTTCCTTCTTCTTAATATGGAGCTCATAGTCCATCTGCTTTAACTGCAACTCCACAATGTCTTTAGAATCTACGAGCCTGATTGAGTAAATGAGATTAGATATGGCGAGGTCAGTATACATGGTTGGTAGATAGATGCTATAAGGACACATTCTTAACATACTTGACAAGATCCATCACTTGTGTCATAAATGGTGAGGCAGACGACGCATATGGAACTTCATCTTGGCTTTCAGATTCACCAGTTAGCGCCGTATCAAGTGCTGGCTGCGCATTTGATACTTTCTCAACAGCAACCTAGTCAGTATAACGTATATTCATATTCGTATAACCTCAGTTTAGAGCAGGGACGAGAAAGACAAATTAAAGAAAAGATAAAAAGTAACGTAAATCTTACATCATTCAATTGGGCATGCATCTTAAGGCCATCCAACAGGCCACGACCATATCTCTGTCGCATATAAAGAATCTTTCAGCAAATTCTATTAATTGTAATCCAAGCTACACATGGACGATGAAAATCACTGCTTATTTTATGAATTTAAAACTGTTAGCAATACACCTTCCCCGCATTCAAAATATTCACACAGACACCAGATCATAGATTTAAATTGTGCCGTTGCGAATCAACGCACAGATGATTTGGCACTTCACAGGTGCATGCCTTCTACATTTTTATTCACTGATAAATTCATCTTACTTAGGAGGAGCCCCAATACCAGATAACCCTGCAGAATAGCTGAATTTCTTGTCTTATGAAAAGCTTCCTCTCTCATTGAATGCTAATAGTTTCAATATTAGTTTATAATTTCAAAAAGTGGATTCATCTCATTACCAATATTTGCATATCATCAATCAACATTTTCAATGTGCGCGGTGCTTCAAATTGAGCAACATGACGACATTTACAACCACACACCTGATCAATCCAAGCAATACTTACCTACTCCTATTTCCAAATTAACGTTCTGATTTCCAACCTTTTGAATTACATATTAAAAGCATCCAATATGACATTATCTACAGATTCGTATGCCTACTAATACCAAGTGCTTTACCGAGTTGCAATTGATTTCGCGTATGAGCCAATCCTAATAAGAAAAACACATTCAAAACATTCCAATCTATAGACGAACAGCACCTAACAAGCAAACTAACTACAGAAACATTTCCCAACCCACATAACAACAGCAGAATCAAAACTTCACAAAAGTTACCAAAAACCAGCAAACAAATAACCTGGGAGCAAGCCATCGCTAATGCAGGATTCGATCCGGACTCAGATCGAGTGAAGAAAGCGGCATTGCGAGGCTTCTGCGATGCAGCAAGCAGCGGCGGCGGCGGCGAAACCTTGGGGCATGGAACACTGAAAGACGCCATCGGCGGAGGCTAAAGTGGAGTAAGAATGGAGAGGAATTTGAATGGGAAGGAGGAATTTGTATTGTAGTATGGGGAAGAAGGGGGCGAGGCGATGGAAATTAAGAACGTTAGGAGACGCCAACGAGGTGGAGGGCGATACGTACGAGAAGGAAGGAAGGAACTCACGAAAACGGCGTCGTTTTGACAGCTCGTCTCGTCTGCAGAAGAAGAAGAAGTCGGTCCACTTCAATGCGGCGGTGGTTTAACCAAAGTGCTTCTAATCTAAATATTCGGCCCATTTATGACACGTCACATAATATATTAATTAATTAATTAATTTAAATGAGATGAATGGTGCGTCATGCGTGCGTTAATGAATTATGAAATAATGTAATTTTTACGTTCCAATCAAATTACTCTACTTTTATTTTTTAGTCTTTCTATGAAATTAGTCTAATTAATATGTTTACTTATAAAATTAAAAACTTAGCTACATTTTATAAACTGTTACAGAGTAATTATATATTGATATAGGTGTTATAATATTGTAATGCCACATAGTCTAGGTGATTAATCATTTTTTAATTGCCTATATAAAAGCTTTGTACTTGATGAAATAAAGGTAATAATTTTGGTTTTTCTCTAGTTATCCTACTCTACCTCCTCTCTCATTATCTCTCTCTAGACATATATATATCTATACATATATTACAATATATATATTATTATATATATTATTAGTAGTAGTATTTTCATATTTTGTTATTGTTAATGTATTTTTTCAACAAATAAAAAGTAAAATTCGAAAATAGGAAATTATCTTTGAATTTGATATAATTAGTGCATGAAATTAGGAATCTCTAAACACTGAAAATACGGGAAAATAAATGCTATAGACTGAAAATTAAATGATGATCCCCGAATCACTGACATTACTGTCGTTTGAAGATGATTGAAGATCCCCTGCCAGTTGCAGATCTCAATCCTTAAATATTCCTCTGAACCAGTACCTGGAACCGTCGCCCAAACAGTTACAACGCCTTCTCTCAACCGTCTGTTAATTCCTCTTTTGCTGACACGTGTTCTCAACCGTCTTGTTACCCGCGTAGCCCAACCGACCTAGCTACTATTCTCACTCGCTCTCCGCAGCATCCGACCTCCACAACAACCAACGATTTGCTCATCCAACTGCGGATCAACCGACTTGCCTGTCGACCGCGGACCTTCCGACTTCTTTGTCCGACCACGGACCTCCCGACTTACCTATCCGACCGTAAACCAACCGACCTGCCTATCCGACCCCAAACCTACCGACTTGTTGGTCCGATCGCAGACCTTCCGACTTGTTTGTCCGACCATGAACCAACCGACCTATTGGTCCAACCGCAGACCACCCGACCTGTTTATCCGACCGCAAACCAACCGACCTGTGGACCGTCCGACTTGCGGACCTTCCGACCTGCGGACCGTCCGACTTGCGAATCATCCGACTTGTAGACCATCCGACGCGCGAATCATCCGACTTGTGGACCGTCCGACCTGCAGACCGTCCGACCTGCGGACTGTCCGACTTGCGAATCATCCGACTTGCGGACCGTCCGACTTGCGGATCATCCGACTCGCGAATCATCCGACTTGTGAACTGTCCGACCTGCGGACCGTCCGACTTGCGGACCAGCCGACTTATGAACCGGCCGACCTGCGGACCGTCCGACTTGTTTACTCACCGACCCACCTATTTCCTAAAAAACGTTCAGTTTACCCGATTATCTTGAAATACCCCTTAAAAAGTCTAACAGACTCAATTGCAAGCCCACATCTTCTTCTAACTTGGGCTTTTTAACCTAATTATAAATTTCATACGTAACTACTTGTCTGTCGCCATCGGACTTTCAAACGCCATTCCTCAATCGCCGTTTGGAAGTTTGTAATCTATATATAACAATACCCCTTCCTGCAAAACCGCCTCTACAACTGCAACTAGTTGCTGCAACATCATATTTGCTGCAAAACTCTTCACCTTCGCTGTTGGCTTTTGCTGTCTTTCAATCTCTGCAACTCCAAATCATGGCAAATCAATACATACCTGCACTTTCCTTCGATGGATCAGTTCCAGAAACAGCATTTGTTGCGACGAAAATGCTCACTCCTACTATTCGCCCATACTGCACCACTCCTGAAGACTCTAACCGAATGAGGGAGGTCTTGGAGGCAGGAAACCCACTCGCTGTCAATAATTCCAACTACAATGCTATCCGTCTCTATGACAGTATCAAAACGCACCTGACGGATCCCAAAGATCCCTACCGCACCTGGTACAAACGGGTAGCAAAACGTTTCCAAGATCAATGGAAACGCCAACAAATCGACCAAGCAATACTTCTATCTACTCTCCCATGTCATTTACATGAGAAAGTTCTTTTAGCGATGTCGGCATTCTGGCACTCTGAGATGGGCGCCTTCCTCCTTCCTACAGCCCCAGACTGCCCCAGACTCACGGATGTGGCCATGATCGCACATCTTCCAATTGTGGGTGAAGACCCTGTAATGGGTGCCCTAGATGGGCAAGAGCCCAGTGTAGACCATTTGGGCTGGTCTCTGGCTGGCGTAAAGGAATGGGGCTGAACCAAATTTTTAAACGACCAGCAAGGAGCAGTCGAGACCCCTGTAACCGACCAGGAGCCTGCTGCCTTCCTGCTCTTCTGGCTCTGTAGGTATGTCATAGTTTCCCCTTTGAAATGCGTCATTCCCTCTCATCTTGACTTGGCCATACATATAGCCTCAGGTTGTTTCTTTTCTCTGGGTACTCTCTTCCTTGCCAATATTTTTGAAGGACTATCCAGGGTTAGCACCCGCCTTACAGATAAGGATGGCAAAAAATTAGATACCGCCGCATCGGGCCCTTTTTGGTTCTTGGAATTTTGGTTCCGTCTTTATTTCCCAGAAGCTTTCCAACTCGGTCATCCCCCTGTTGCTCCAACTCCTGACAATTCTTTAGGGATAGCCCTTAACCGACTTTGTTTAGGTCGCAATAACCTTCAAGCATCCGACCCTATCATAACTGCTATTCTAGCCAATGATCGTAGTAACTCCCGATTTTACATGTACAGAAAGTACGTCGGTTACGCGTCCGGCTTGTTTTGGCCATTCCCTGTATCTTCACCTTTGTCCGAACCAGTCCCAGTTCCTCATCCAACTTACTCCTTCTCCTGGGATGGTGCTCGTAAACCTAGGTCTTTATTTATTAGCAAGAAAATTGATAAGAAAGGCCACAAAGTGTTTTATACCTTCAGTTATCAACCTCAGTTTTTGGCACGCCAATTCGGATGCCAACAAGGTTTGCCTGGCCCCATCGCCTGTCCACATCTAATAATTCAAAGTCCGGACGGGAGAGTTATTCCTGAATTGATTTCTCCTTATGTGTCCCAATTAACCAATTACATAACTTCCATCTCCTATATTCCCTTCCGAACTTCTCCAGCTTCAATTGAATCCTTCCGCGAATGGTGGTCGGTCACCTGGGCCTTAATTGCCCCTGCCAAAGATCGTCTATTGGGCATTCTCCTACCACAACCTACCTTGGTTTTAGGGGCGACCCCATTGACCAATACCCGAAGAAAAGTGATCGCCCCAGACAATGGATCGGGCGCCCCACAGAGGAAAAGAAGAGCTTCTCAGACTCGAGCTATCCCCTTCTCTGAAGAAAATCAACAGACTTTGAGAGACCGTTCATCAGGTCGGGCGCCTGTAAAGACCCGACCCCGTCCAGGTATGTTCCAGTAATCCTGATTTAAACTGATTCTTTCCTTAAACTTTTATGCATCACCATTCGTATATTCAGGTCTGACCCTGACAAGGGCGACTGTCTAGACTACTTCAAACCCAGCAGAATCACCAAAGTCATCAGCTGACCAACTTCAAGTACCTGAACCACCGACCAAGAGACGAACCTCCGCAAACACACCCTCACCATGCCAACCTGGCAACAACAGGGACGTCATCCAATCTTTGAGGCGACTGCCTCGCATATGGGTAGGTTGCCTTATGTTGCTTCAGACCCATCTCTGCCGCAGTCGCCCCTGGTGCGGCCACCTCTGCTGCAATTTCTCTCGAGTCGGTCGCTCTAATTAAATGAAATGTCTCTGATGCGGCCGTCCGTATCACTCCCGATGAACCGGCTGCAGCCGTCCTAAACGTATCTGACCAAAGAGCAGCCGACCTAAGGGTAGCCGACCTAAGGGCAGCCGACCCTGCTCCAGAAGCAGGCAGACGGGAAGAAGAACCCGCAGCTGTTCAACCGAGGGGTCTTTTACAAGAGTTACAAGAAATCCCCTCCTCTGATTTAGAGACCTGTGTTAACCTGGTAGACACTTTAAACTCCTTTTTCCAAATTACTAGCTACTGTTTACATGATATTAAATACACTATATTTCCATCATTCAGGGACCCAGATCCATACCACAGCGTCTATTTGAAGCAGCCGACGAATCGGCCATTGCAATACCAGTCACCCATCCTTCCAGGCCCATAACAATCCTGGCACCTTCTGCGACCACGAACCGTCCAGAAGTAAGTAAAGCTTTCACAAGTAATTCTCGATATTTGTGCTCCATGTAATCTTAAATAAACATCCATTCTCCCAGGGATGCCCTGATCTAGCCCCTTTGTCGGCTGTTCCAATTCCGATGGACGTCCGAACTATAATTGCACAGGCTGTTGATCAACCTTTCCCCGAACTGGGATCAGACTTGCTTGACGGTCTTCTTCAAGCCATTGGTGGCCTTCTATTTCAAATTTCTTCAGAGTCCGCTGCTACCCCCATTCTTCATCGGCTGATGGAGCGACAATCCGAACTTCAAAATGACATCTTATTCGCTCAACTCCTGTCAGTTGGAACACCCTTACTTGACTTGGACCAAATAAGTCTGGAGGTTTCCCTGACTAAAACCAGGGAGTCAATTCAACAAGCGACTGGAAGATTGGACGGACTTCTTAGTGCCAAGATCCACATATATGAATCAATGCAAAAGAAGGAAGCGGAATTAAGAGCACTTCATCAAGAAAAATCTGTTCTGGAAGGCCACATAAGCGACGAACAGCGCCTGATTGATCGGTACAAGAAAAATGAAGCCGACTTGGACCAAGAACTGAAGATTCATGCCCGATCCCAACTCATAAGGCAATATCAGTCAGCTGCTAACACCAGACGACTTTCCAAGACAGAGGATAAATGGTCTCAGATTAAAACTACTTT